TGGGGGATGGAGAAAGCACACTAGTGTGGCCAAGCTTTATACTCAGTTGTGTCTCCCTTCCTGATCCAGCAACATCTTGTTCTACCCACACATGTCTACATATTTTATAAGGTTTCACCTCTTGTCCATGTGTGGTAACTTTTCACTGTTTACATCTGTTTTGCGTTAATTGATGTCCCAGTGGTTTCAAGATGTGGTTACTGTATTGCAAAAAATGACCTTGATGCTGTCGTGTTTGTGGTTTACTTATCAGACAATGCATTGCTAGGAGCCGTATTACTAAATTTTATAATTTTAGGTCAGGAACATAATGCATATTTTAATTTGTCACTCGCCAGCTACTTCTGGGCCTCACTTTAACGCATTAACTTTCTATGCTTCAGCCGTGTTTTTAGTTATTTTTTTTCTACTTGCTGTTACAGCTTAGGTAACTTCATTATCATTTTGATATGCATGCTTAGAAAATAGATTTTTTTACCCCCAAATGATATTCCCTCCAGTATCGGGTCATGATTCAAAAGTGAACATCACCAAAGTAGCACAGGAAATCTGTGGTACAGTGGGGAATTGAACCCAAGACTTCCAGGTTGAAGGGTAATTCCTTAGCCATTGGATCATCCTGCCTCTTAGTCTTGAAAGCGGTGTCTTCGTTTTAGCTGTGGATTACCATTACCCAATAATACTAATTTATTTGCAGAAAATCTCTCTTTTGGAACACTGTTTTTTATCTTTACACTTTTTTCAGCTCTAAATAATTATGGAAATATTGAATCCTGAAGCAAATTCAATGTTTTAAATAAGTAAACAAATCTGAAACTGACATTTTAATACTTGTATATCCTTCACTGCATAATTCATTATTGACTTTTAACTCTTTCACTCATTTTCTGACTCACAATGTATGATAATATTTTGCTGAAGTCTAGGTTTGAAGTTGGTGGTCCTGATTTTTATTAAACTAAATTAATTGCGACAGCAGTTCTTTGTGAGATCACATTGTGTGCAATTAGAATGCAAATGGAATTGTGATTACTTAGAAAAATACTAAATAAAAATCCTTCATATGGTTTGGTTTGAGTCAGTTTTAGAAATATTCTAAAATTACAATAACCTGATCATAATTGCACCATTGTAGTTTTCAAATATTATAATTAATCAACCAACTATGGATTATAGTCAGAATAGGGATGCTAAATTTAGTTTAATCAACTAGTCAACTAGTTTTCCATCGACTAGTCAATAAGCAGGGGAGCCACAGCGGGGTTAGCTTCTGGCCCCAGAAGCTGGCAAACTCTTAATACATTTAAAAGGTTGGAGTGCAGTAGGGGGACCTGGCGTAAGCCGCCAGGAATCAGCTGTCCCGGCTTGCACTACTCCACACCTCTCCCTTCCTCCCCCCGGCTGCGCTTCTGCATTTTAAATGTAGTAAGAGTGGGCAGGCTCTTAATACATTTAAAAAGCAGAAGTGCAGCATCTAGGACTGGGTGCGAGCTGCAAATCAGCTGATAGCATGGGGAGAGGGAAGCAACTAGTTGACTATCTGATAAGCTTTTGCTTATCTGATAGTCTACTAGTTGCTTACATCCCTAAGTCAGAATTACTTGTGGTGATGTTGGATAATTAAATCATGTGAATGAGTAAAATTATTCTCTTTCTGGCGCCTTTATGCTAGTATTTAAAGAGTATGATTAACTTTGAACAGAAAGTAGTTCTTTTGGGTGTACATTTTTTTTTGGTCTTTTAGGAATCTCACATGACGTTTTTCCTTATGAACACAGTTCCATTTTCTACATAGATTGGTTAGGTAGTAGACTTCTAAACATGAAGAAGAAGAAGAATGCTTCCCATTAACTATTGGCATGGACAACAGTATATAATATATATAAAGAAAGCTACACATTTGTATATATACTTTCCCAATAACTTTGAGGAAGATAGAAGTGTTAATGAAGGAAAGTATTAATCTTTAAGAAATTTACTGTCATACGAGAGATCATATTTAATACATGATTCTTCCTCTCTTCCCCCTCTCTCTGCTTACCAGAAATTAGCAGAGTACGAAAAGACATGTATAACGACACATTAAATGGAAGTACGGAAAAGAGAAGTGCAGAATTACCAGATGCTGTGGGACCTATTGTACAGTTACAAGAGAAACTATATGTGCCTGTAAAAGAATATCCAGATGTAAGTACACCTCTTTCAGTTCCTAAAATGTTTTAGTCCTTGTGGTTCTCTGTAAATGTAAATTGCATGTGAAGATACCTCTTGATCGCAGTGAACACTTTTTTGTGCAAGTATTGCTTTCTAAAAGGAAAGTTTATCTACACCCTTTACGGTTGGGTGTTTCTGTAAAGTGTGTATATGTGGGGACTAATGGTTTTAAATATCAAAATTAAGTGCAGGTTATAATTTTTTTAGGTACAAGATTAGAAGGGTCAAATTTTACTTGTTTTTCAGTACGACCAGCATAGAGCCATGCTGTTCAGAACCCCTGTGCTCCTGGCAAAAAGGAAAAATTTTCATGGAAGAAATAGCTGTTGGGACTATGTACATGCTTCTCCTCAGAAGTAAATGTTTGTTGTATAAGCTATCTAAGGGCTTCTTTACATGTACAGAGCTGTAGTGTTTAGTAAAGATGCTACCTGTACCAACAGGAGAGCTGCTGTAGACTCTCTGCCTCCCTGAGAGTCGGTAGGTAGGCTGACAATAGCAGCCCTCCTAATAATATAACATAGTGTAAACCAGAAGTTACTGGTTGAATTACTTTGCAGTCCAGTCAGTGCATCATCTCTCATCTCCACTTTATGCATGACAACCCTTCCAGTTCCTTATGATGATAACCTTTCTTTTTATGTGTTTGTATGCCATAGAAATTTCATGGCAAGGAATACCCTGGTTTAATTCGACTTGGTCTCCTTTTCAAGGAACCATCTAATTAGACTCAGAAAAGGCACAAAACCATATCTCTCCTTCCAACAAGAATAATGTAGGGATGACTTTTTATTTTAGCAGTTTCCTCATTCTAGAGAATAAATGGAGGTGTGCCAAAACCCCCTCAAAAAGAGACCAATAACATTTGTGGAACTAGTATAATATATGCAGAACATTATTGCTCAGTTGGAGTGATTTATATTATATGCTTCTTAATTCTGTCTTATCTAATTAGATTGTCAAGTCCTTAGGACAGCATCTGTTTCATTTTCTAGCACGTTGGAGCTTCCACGTTTAGTGGGCTCCTAAATTGTTGCTGTAGTACAAATAGCTTATGCCATATTTGACCTAAGAAAACTGAACCTGTCTGGGTTGGGACTCTGCTGTCTGGCTACATGTGTGGTCCAGAAGGACCATGGATGTTGCTGGACCAGAGAGCCCCAGCCATAGAGATTGCTAGTGGCTGGGAGCTCAGCCGATAGGCAGCCTGGAGGGCCAGTGGCTTTGGGGGCAGGAAGCCCAGCCCGAAGGTGGAACAGGGCTGTGCATGGAGCCTTGCCAGCCAAGAGTGGAGCCGCTGCTGACCAGCGGCAAAGAAGTCCCTGCCATCCAGGGGAGTGTGGAACCCCACCAGCCAGAACGGAGCAGCAGCTAGGAGTGCAGCCCTATCAGCAGTTAGGGGCAGTGCACTGGCCAGGCCAGTGGCCAGGAGGAGAACCTCAGGAGAGCCTGAGGCCCGACTTCACCCAGTCCAGCAAACTCCCTCCTTCGGGACCCCTTGAGGTCCCAAGTGTGTTGGACCAGGGAGGTCTAACCTATATATGTATATGTCAGTGTTCAGATTTAATATAACTCCTTACTGACTCTTTTGCATCTCAAAAGACTTTTCCCAAATACCTGGTAATGATTGCAGAAGGCTTCCGACTTCAAGATATCAAAGGGAGCTTTTACTTACACAGAGCTGGCAGGAGCCAACTCCTCAGTTGGTTCAGATGGGCTTTCATATTGTGTGTGCCTAATTTCAGTCTCTAAGTTTTTGGTATCAGATGTGAGAAGTATAAACTCACGGTATGAAATGCAGAAGTGTACTGTCCTGGACTCAATTTGTACCTGCTTACCACAGTGCTGGGTTCAAGAAATTCACAAATAAATAGTTTTCCTGAAATCTTAATCTTGCATAACCAGAAGGTTCTTCCTGAGAGTTCTAGGCTTCAAGGATTCATACAATTATATAAGACCTTTCACAAGACATGGTGTAAAGAGTGAAAAATGTAAAGACAGTAGACTTTTAACAAATGGTCTAAACTCTGTTTCTAAACCAGTAGAATTATAGTGTATAAAAATTTGCTAGAAAGTAGTACAGTGCTGTAATGTGCATGCAGATGTACTGACATGAGCATCTTTATACCAGTCTAGCTTACTCAAAAATTTTATAAGAACATGCTTTATTTCTGTATGCACTTGATAGCAGTATATTTGTGGCTGTGTTATGGGGTTATTATATCTATTTAAAACTGATACAGTGATTCATAAACCATGTAGACCAAATCCTTACTTTGAATATACAGCATGCTTCAATTCTCCTTCAGAGATAAACTGCAATTTTGATGTTTCAGACAGAGGGGGCAAGACTTCATGTAATTTAATTTTGAGCTTCCACAAGTCAAGGGCACATCTGTCTAAATTCTGACAGACAACCCAACACTCATAGGTAATGGAAATGTATGTGGAGGAGCTTTCTCATGACCATTGTTCAAGAGCTTGTTTAATTTTGGGAATGGCATTTCCTGCATCATATTACTACCATGATTTTTCATGTTCCTGACAAAGTCTTAACAGATGACTCGAGCCAAAAATGTGCTATCTCTAACTTCAGGGGCAGATTTTTTTTTCTGATACAGTGATGTCACTTTGCAGCATATGTTCTCAATTACTTTGCCAAAAGCAGCAGATAATCTAGTTCCTTGAACAGTTGCATACTTAGCTGGAAATTGGGTGTTTGATTATGCGCTTATTTTTGATTATCAAGCGATCAGGAATATCTGACAAGATTAAAGTGCTGGTGATACTGATGCTACAGCAATGGTTTTGGTTCTCAACCCACTTGACTTGTTACCAGAGCAGAGCGTCAAACCGTACCACCAATTAATGCATTAAAATAGTCTGCTAGAGAACCAATTTCTTTTGAGTATAGATCAGAAATCTGAGTCTAGCATCCTGAGTTGTGACATATTATACTAAATATTTCAGTGTTCCCAAGGAGTCGTAACAGATTTTATAAAAAACGGTTATTCTTTTTACTTAGAGGATATTGACTGGATGGCATTGAACACCATACTCACTACGTGCAATTTAGCACTGAGAAGTAATTCTGCAAAAATTGTGGTAATTTCATGCTTTTCTTAGATTTCTAGCCATATATATTTGTATATGAGTTGAATGTTGTTACCCCTGTCAACCCAGGAAATAGCACACCGGATCTAAGAATTCAACTGTTAACCTTCCTAAAGCACTGTCACCAGTATCAAGATTTTGCTTCCTACTTAAATCGGTCATGATGCCTTTGCATGCAGAAGTGTTGTCCATGTTTATTTGATTTGTCATGTTTGTACAGGTTTATTTGATTTTAACTTGGTAAATGATCATGCACAAAAAGGGTTGTAATTACCTGTCAGGGCTAAAATTGTGTGATAACATTCCATGAATTTCTAAAGCAGCTTCTATATCATTCTTTATTTTTCTTTATGGAGACATTCAAGGTAATCTAGCACTCATGTTTTAAAATAATTTACTCTGCATGTCAGATGCCTAATTTAGGAGAACAGCCCTGCAATCCCCCTTTAACTGTTTCTTATTAAAAACTTCAAGGAGGTAAGCTTAATCCATTTTCATCATGGCGAAGAGTTGAGTGAAGTGCTCTACGTTTCTGTAATATGAAAAGGAAATGAGCAGTGAGGTGACAGTTTCAGAGGATACTTCAGTGGTACTTAACCAAGCTAGATGGATGGGCACTACAAAATAGTATTGTAGATCAGAATTAGTGTTGACGAGTGCAAAGTAATGAACTTAAGGAATTGATTTGAACGACTTGTGCTCCTTACCAGATTCTGAAATAGCTATAGGAATTCAGGAAGAAGCCTTTAAATGGCCTTACTTAAATCTATTATATGTGCTTGGTTCATTCTTATTTACTTGTCCTACAGGGAGAATTGTATGCACTACAGTGGTGTTGCTCCCACATATCAGAAAAGGCAAGGATAAAATACACCTTGTACCTGACAGAGGAAGATGAAGAGGTTTATAGTGGTGTGTAATTACTGTGGGAATTCATTCCAGTGTCTTGAACTGGCCCCGAAGAAAATGCTGTTTTCTGTGTAAATGTCCTTTATTTTATTGCAAAAAGTTTCATTGTGCTGGAGTGGTGGAAATATTGATTGTAAACTTCATCGTGGAGCATTAGCTGATATTTGGTATAGTCTGGATCCAGGCTGAGTGCTTTGAAGATAATTTTTCTGTGGGAAAAGAGTTGGATTTCATTGTATAGATGTGCTTATGGGTAGCCTGAGGAGCTGAGGAGACCTACTGTAGTGTTCTGCACTAATTGCAGTTTCCTAAGTGCTGAAGGCTTTGTGCCCATATACACAACCTTGTTTTAGTCCAGGTGAGATGTGGTGGGAGTGTGTAAAGGAGGCTAGGTGATTGTCTGCTATAAAGAGATGGAATCTCTTAGCCAATGGAAATCATGGAAAAGTGTAACTTATGCATATGTCTGTATGAAAATTTAGTGTCAGGAAGGAGTTTGGAAGTACTGAGCTAAAAACTGAATTGACCACTTGTGTTGGTATATCTTTTAGCAAATAAAGATGGTACTGTGGCTGCAAACTCTTGGTAGCGCTTTCTTCTGCTCACCATCTGTCTTGCTTGGGTTCAGCTTTGGTGAGCTTATGTTGTCCAAGCGTTTGGCTATCATTGTGGCTGTGACATGGTATATTTGCTGAAGAAAAGGTAGGGCTGTATCATTTACATATTGTTTTCACTTGACTCTGTCATCTAACCGATGCATGTGCATTTGAATAAGACGAGAGAAAGCAAATGGATTCTTGTTTGACTCCACAAATAAGAGGACTAGTGGTGGAGCTGCATTTTGCATTCGTTCTTGTTCAATGTGTCCCTTCAGGGAAGACGCTCACCATTTCAGCATATTTTCTGGAGCTCTGCCATCTCTCAGATCAACAATATGAAATCCTGCAAAG